AAATAGAGCTCGACAAGCTCTACAAACGCGAAACCCACAATGGCTTTTCAGAAAAACTGAAAATACTTGTTTTTTTAATGCGAAAACTTACGGTTTTCCAGTAAACATTTCACAGATTCATCCCACGACTTGGTCCAAAGCTAAATTGCACATAGTTCGATAGCACTCATCGAGACGCATATAAAACTGTTCTCTTCATCTCAAGAGAAACGTGGCAAAAGTTTATAAAGACCGGTTTCCAATGCTGGTATTCCATAGGAAAACTTCGTCAGTTTTTTTTCTGGTTTGTTAGTTGATTTCGTAACCATGAGAAGAAGCGAATCATTTTATTCCAATTTGGTACATTACCCACATAGACGACGATTTATTGTACGTTTAGTTTGTGAAACATGCTCGTATAAAAGATAGCGAAGCTCCTTGAAGCGTTCGAGAAAAATAAAACTTGTATACCATGATGGTATTTAGAATGAAAATCGCACATATTCAGTGAAAAGCAGAGATAGAATAGGTTGTAATCAGACAGACATGTTTAGAAGTAGAGAGTACGCATAATATGTACAAAATAGAGATGCATATATGCCGCTATATGGAATCATGCCTCTGTCTTCCCGCTTTCGAATCAAAACTATGTACAGATGAACATAATTTTGTTGAGATGAAGTTCATCAGAGAACAGTTTTATATGCGTCTCGATGAGTGCTATCGAACTATGTGCAATTTAGCTTTGGACCAAGTCGTGGAATGAATCTGTGAAATGTTTACTGGAAAACCGTAAGTTTTCGCATTAAAAAAACAAGTATTTTCAGTTTTTCTGAAAAGCCATTGTGGGTTTCGCGTTTGTAGAGCTTGTCGAGCTCTATTTGGACCAACTCTTCTCCAGTTTGGACCAAGTTTACAAATCAATCTGGGGCGGAAATATTCGAATCTGGCGCTAACTTTATCTACATTTCTATACTATGGTCCAACAAACTGCATGGGTAAGAGTTTTCTATCCGTGCTCGTCCATTCCCGGTAACATTCTGGGATGTTTGTCCGTGCACTTCCGTGAATTTTTATCAGCTACCCCTAAATAGAAAATCTGTAGCGTAAACTGTATATTTTCTACTCTGCTATAAAGAAAATAAATTCTCTTGTAGATAAAAGAAATAGATAAACTATACAGTCAATGTTCCTAATAAGAACGGATTTTTTCTTCGTTGACTTATTTCGATTACTTTATAATGAATTTTGAAGAAAGTTCTATACTTTTTTACATATCTGAGTAGAGAAAAGTCTCCTGAATCGAATGGTAAAAGAATTAATTCGTTTGCAGTAAAATTGACCAAGTTATGACCGGTAGAATGACTTTAGGTCGTTCCGTTCTTAATAAGTACACATTTCCTAATAAGAACGACAAGCAAAATATATGCTCTTAACAAGAACGGCGCATACAAATACATGACAGAAACGGACAAATTGGAAAAACGTTCGATTTTTGTACCCAGAATACTCGATGGGAAAAAACTTTTGGAACAAACTCTACTCTACTCACTTGGCTCTATTTATCTGCAAAGGTTCAGAGCTAACTTTTGTTCTCTTATGCAGATATTAATTATTCAAAATGACCTATATCCGTTCTTAATAGGTACACTCTACTTATTAAGAATAGCAAGCGAAATTTTGCTCCCAATAAGAACGGATCCATTGAAATGTAAGAGAAACGCTGCGGCTTTCGAAATAACAAGGCTTTTCGCTACCTCAATTTCGGAATTAGCATGAACTCCTGAAACAAAAAATGTTCAAGTCATTCTACACTATGAACTGACAGCGGTTGAACCTTAAAGGATAATTTCGTCTTGATTAACACGGCACTAATCTTTTTGGAGCTGAAAGTACCAGATTGTGTTGATTTTCCGATATGAAGTTGCATTTTTTTAGAGTTTTTTCGCGAATTTACAACTGTATTTGAACTATTTCGAATTGCGTTAAATAACAAAATAAAATACCGTATAATAACCACAACAGCGGCCAGAAAACATATCTGTTCCAAAAAACTTGAAAGAAGGCTTGGCTAAATGCCATTCATTGCCAAAGAAAAATGTTAGAATTGTTTAGAATTCTGGTTCGGTTTCAGTAACAAAGACAAAGTCCTCATCTGTTTAAAATCTGGTCTCGTCTACGAAGCTAGTTGTCGGGCTGAATGTGTTAAATACGTAGACAGTGCAATCTGGAAAGTTCTGGTGAAACATCTATATGAAGATAAACGCTTTGTATCGCAGTCAAGAATAGCAGAATTTACGATTTCCGCTTGGTTTATTTGTTTTTTGAAAAAATGTACATCACACTTTTGGGTTATGACGTCATTTTCTACGTATTTAACACATTCAGTCCGACAACTAGCTTCGTAGACGAGACCAGATTTGGTACTTTCAGCTCGAAGTGGGATGTAAACTTATCCATCCCTTCAAAGTAAGTGAAATGGAACAGCAAAGTCTTTTCGTAGCCAATCTCAGCTATATTCAGACGTTTCGATCTGCTGTTAAAGAATTAGTTTAGTACCACCTCCCGGCTGAGCTCATAATTCCTATTTACCCAAATTCCTTAAATCCTTATTTTCTTAAATTCTTACGTATTCACCAAATGACAGAGAATGAGCAGTGTTCTAATATGTTGATTTGACCTTCGATCCGAAATAGTATAGTGGAAGTATGCCTGTTTGTCGAACAGGAGACCGGAGTTCAATCCTCCGTTTCGGAGTATGTTTTCTTTTTTTGCGTGCCATTGAATAGAGAATTCAATTCTCTGCATCGTTACGAAAAAAGTCCAATCAGTGATGACCTAATATGCCAACAGTCTCAACTCCGGTCTCCTGTTCGACAAACAGGCATACTTCCACTAACTAATGCATACGTAACTAATGCATATTCTAGGGCTTCCAGCAAAACTCTCATAACTCTTGATCAGAACATCATTCAGAGCTGGGAGATACCTCATTTTGATCAGAAATGTTTGCTCTATTTCCTGGTATTACTGAAAATATTTAGTTCACATAATATGTGTTCAAAGTTTAGTTATTTAGTGAATAAATCACATTAATTTTATGTAAGATATGAAATAAAGTAGGAATGAAATGTGAAAATAAGATTAAATGAAAATTTCGTTTATTATAGAACAGCGCATCTTTTAAGTGGAAATTTTTGTAAAATAGAATAATGGACTAAAAAGAACATCATGTCAAATTATGATATAGCACAATACAAAGAATAGGAATTTGAAGTTATAGAAGAACAGAAAGAATGCGCAGACATTTTACGGCGTTAATCAGCTTTTCGCTACCTACTCGAAAAGAGAGTTTATCGCTTACATTAAATCACGTACTGGAATGCGAGATATGAAGAAGAAAATGCAGTAAGTGATAACAACGTTGTACTTCAAAAGGAACAAGACGTAATGTAAAAACATACTAGTCGAAGAAACTGAAACTGTTTTGATATATCGGTTGCACAACAATACTGTACTAGAAGCATTAAGCCCTACGAAAAAGCATCTTTCAAAGAAATGCCCGAACAATACCAATACGTCGACAAAAGTTGAATTCAGAAAAAGGTCGTAATTCATAAACAATCTCTCTTTTTTTAAACTAATCTCGCTTCTGTTGTTTTGCTGTCTGCTCGCTCTTCTACTCTTTATTTACACAGCTGTTATTCTTGTGGCCTGTTTTTATCTAAAATTTTTATATACTCGCTCACGTTTGATGTCAATTTGTACATTTCCTCTTTTACAGCCAAGTTGGAAAATCATAAAACAAGATTGTAAACTGTGAACTGTTCACTTTACAATCAGTAAAAGATTAAACTTCTTTTAGACAGACATTCGTTAGATAGACATAAAAGTTTAAATGACCATGTCGAATTATTATGACTGCTTCAATTCTGTCAATAGAAAAGTTCTAACAGAACACATTCTTCTTCCTTCATGTGTTCATGAAGAATTTATGTCTACTGGTTGGACAAAAGAACGAATGAAAGATGGGCAAAACCTTATAAAAAGGTAAAAGAAGTTGTCTTCTGAGCAACGAACACTTGAAGAGGGAAGCAAACGTTCTCTTCCATCTCTTCCACTTCTCTGATATGGGTTTGTGAGCCAAGTGAGCAGATGTGTGATACTGTCATTAAAGTTCTCCAATTTCTCTTCCGAGATCGTTCTGTGATGGAACATTTTCTTCTTTTTGTTGTGTTCAACTTCTTAGACTAGTAGAAACAAAAGTTAGTGGCCTTCGGAATCCAGAAGATTGTCCAACGAAGAAACAGCTCGCTCCGGCACTCCGCGGAGTAAGTAGACTGCCCGGAACGTCATCGGAATAAATGAAATTTAGCCTTCTATTTTGAGTACTATACGGCTTTTTATTCATTTTAAATGCGCAAAGATGAGACAACTGTCTAGTGCAATGTTTGCCATTAAAGGTGCAAATAACGTCCCAACATATAATAATTATAAATTTTATGATATAGTTAATGATTAGATATTGCAGATTTGTCAATCAAGCTATACACAATGTTCCATCAGTGTTAAATATAAATGATGTTCTTGATGTATTAAATATTGATTGTCAAGAAATAGGTGAAATAAGAAATCAGATTACGTTTAAATTGGATAATAACAGATTTATTATTAAAGATGGTATACGTAGTAGTGTACAATATTTAATACGATTGTGTCGAAAGAAATTTGATGAACATCTGAAACAATTAAATCCAAAAGGTTCACGTTCATCAGTTGTTCAACAAATATCACCATCAACACCATCACCACCAACAACAAATAATACTACAAGTACTAATACAACAGCACTTGTACCAACACAACGGTCATTATCACCACGAACAAACAGCGTCAACAAAAGCTGATTATCGTAATTATATTGATAAAGCATTAAATTTATGGTGTAAAGGAAATAAACATTTATTAGAATTAGATGATTTTCACTGTAAAAAGTGTAAGGTAAGTTAACATTATCTTCGGTTATTTTTTCGTTATAACCTAAGCTAATACTACCCACTTTGTCTTTTTGGTAGTTTTATTCTTTGTATTAATGTTAATCTGTTCTATCGACACTTTTACTGTAAAAGTCAGCCTGAAAGAACACCTTGCCTTAATGTTAATTCAAACTAAATTCTTTATAATTTTCGTTTAGTGTGAACTCACATTAAAATATAGATATTCGCCTACATTGACATTGAAGATTGGTTTCTATTTACATTAGAGCGAAAATATGACCTCTCAGACACGTGTGAATTTACGTTTTGAGAAAAGTATACATGAACGATAAAATGAGTTTACATTATACTGGATTATCTTTTCTTCTCTGATTTCGATAGTTTTCTCATACGTAGTAATGTTAGTGTGCTCTATCGTCATTTACTTTTTAAAAGTCAGTATGGAAAAACGCCTTACTTTAATATTAATTCAAGCTTAAGTTCTTATAATGCCTTTGATATAAATTCACATTAGAATATAAACATCATATTATATATAATTAACATTAGAGACTCGTATATTAGTTACGGTAGAGTACAGACATACATAGATAAATTCATATTCGAATTTGTTTTTTTTTAAAATTACTATTAGAGGTTCGTGTATAATTACATTAGGGTAAAGACACACTAAAGAACGTGGACGTACTTTCTGACTTATATATATAAGGGGCCCAAACAAACAAAAAAAATTTTAAAAAAAAATCGACTCGAAAAGGAGACGGGTCTTCATCCCGAGTCGGATCCACGCTTTCTTTCTTTTTAGGTCTAACCACAACTTGTAGGTAAGCGGCCAAGAGCTCCTGGCATTTTCTTTCTACTCCTTGTTTGGCTTACTTTTAATTCTGCTCATATTGAGCTTGATCCGCCGCTCGTATTGAGTTTGTACGGGCATGAGAGGGATATATTATATTAACTAATTAATAATTGAATAAAAAAATACCTTTCTCTTCGTAGAATGACCTCTTCGTGGGTGAGAAAGATCAACGCGTGAGAATTTCTGCGGCTAACGGTCTTACAAAATTTCAGAAATCTTTCACTTCCAGAGAGTTGATTCGCCAACTGGCAGAGGCGGCTTAGCTATCTTCTTTTATTTAGTCAAGGCACAGCAAGATGTGAAATACAAAAAACGATTAGCTTGAGACAAACATAAACACTCTGGGACTTTAATCAAGTTCTCTATTCGACGCTAAAAAACCTTTACAACTAAACTCAGAATGCCACTAATAGGAGCAGAAATGTTCAAAAGAAACGATAGTCGGGAGTTCACTCAAAGTTTAAACGAAAGAGTCACATACACCACAAACCTTACACATGTTCACTTTATTACAGGCAAAATGCTTGATCGTATTTAAGTTCTTACATGCCGCCAAGTGTTACAGGTCAACAAATTTGCTAATCGCTTCATCAGCACTGCATATAAGATGGCGTTTGAAAGTGTCGATGAGTACAAAATGTTAGTTAGGAAAACGTTAGCGAGAAAACACTTAGGAAAATTTGGGAAAACCCTATATTCCACTCATTTCAGATGAGTGATCTCGAATTTTAGAAGAGAAATTTTATTTAGGAAGTGTTTGAGACGAAAAAATATGATTTTATACGCATTAATATATGTGATAAAACTATAGCATACGTCTTGGTTTCCCAAATTTTGCATGTTCTGAAACTTTTTTTACAAATTATTTACCGTAGTTTATAGAGGATCAGACGCTCTATAAAATGCACGATAAGCGGATCTGGTCAGAAGCCGTTTTCGGGTTCAAAATTGACTTCTGAACAAAATTAGTTGTGTTTTGAAAATTGGAAACTTTCAGAAAATCCGGCTTTTTTCTTGGAAAACTCAATTATGGGACAAAATTAAATGAGCCATCTTTTTTTCAGTTTTTATCAGGCCTTTGAATGAGATGCTGCTCGAACCGAACGGATGAAATTTGACTGAGTTACAGGCAAAATGCTCGCGACACCCACTTTTTTAGAAATCCTCGACCCCCTTTACTTAAAAAGTTCAGAACTCGGTCAAAATAAGTTCAAACGGGCTAAACATTTTTCACAACCCCACTTTTGATCGTAGAATCCAAAAATATCAAAAAAAATATATGTTAATTTCGACCGTTCCACTACAATTCTCGATGGGCTCGTGAAGCCTCTCCTAAGTAGCTTAAATTTCAAATAACATTTAACTAGAGGATCAATTTCACTGAGTGTGACAGCATTGCGCCGGATCATATTGCTATTATTCTTCTAAACGTTAAAATGTATATAGGAAATTCCGTTATCAGTCAGTGGTTCCCCGATTCCAGGATTCTTAGGATGCCAGAATTTTTCAAATCCTAGAATCAGAAGAATCCTAGCTCCTTCGAAATCTTAGAATCCTAGAAATTCTAGCATCTTAAGAATCGTAGTTTTATCTCGCACATGATGAAATTAAGTACATCCAATGATGAATAATACAGTGGAATTATACAGTTTACTTCAATCGAGTAAGCAATCTTATCAATGTATTGAGTTTGGAATTCAATATATTTATGTATCTCAATGTAAAATAGATAGAATTCTCGAACTGTAGAATGCTGACCTTGTTTATCAATAATAAATGTCGCAAGACAAACTACCGAGTGTATGACTTCCAACCCACACATATCGGTGAGGGAAAGTTTCCGTTTCACAACACCTCGCGTGTGGATCACATGCAGTTCTTATCTCTAATTACGAATATGGCCTTCAAAAGGCAAGAAAATGATTGTTCTAGAAGAGAATTATTTTTTATTGAAAAATAGCGTCACAAAAACTTGTAACATCATTGTTGATTATGAAATGTTTGAGTTTAGTTTAGTTGAAATTTTTTGAATACATCACTCTTAATAAACATCTCTTACACCGAAGAGAACACATTGTTCCGACCTTTTTTATCAGCAAACATCTGTTTGATGTTAGTGTTTCAGACTTCGCACAAATCACTCTCTAAACGTTTATCAGACCGATTATGTGGAAAATTTAGGCAAAGTACACGAAAGCTTTGTTTTCTGATGAGATTATGTGTTTTTAATATATTACCGATTAAAATTGTTTGTGTTATTTAGCACATCTAGACACTGGTTAGAACTATCCGAGATTACTTGATAAAATAGACAACAGATCGAGATAAGAAATGATGCTTCTAACCTTTATCTTCTGCATTGTTGTTCGTCTTTCTCTAGCAAGATTATCCACAATTTAAATAAATAAAATAAATGTTTTCCTTTCCTAATACCTGTAACGAACAAGGGAAAAGATAAGAAACAGAGAGAGGCTATATGTGCGTATGAATATTATAACAAAGAAAAAATCATTTCAATGTGCTTAATTTGTTAAAAAAACTACGAATGTTGGACACAAAATGCTAACATTTTACATACAAAGGTTCTTGTTATTCATCCATACCTTTTTGTTTTTGAATGGAACAGAGTTAGATGTTTAAGAAAATACATAAATTGTACACAGCTCTTTTTCTGTTTTTTCTGTCTTGTCGAAGCTTCAAAATTCATTAACCCTTTGGCTCCCGGTGAGGTATAAATACGTCTAGTTGCGATTATTGCATGATCATAATAGCTAGAATAAATCTGAAAAAAGATTTGAATAGCTGGAAGAATTTCCGATCTCAGGTGATGTACACAAAGGCTCCATCAAAACTCCTGAAATCGGGGTCTCTGGAAAACTCGAATCTCAGAAAACCAAGTCCCAGAGTTCAATCCAGAAATTCTTTGCAAATAAGTTGATCGTGTAGAGCAAACATTTCTGAAGAAAATGAGACGTCTCCGAGCTAGTTATGACATTTTCTCATGGAGCAGCATTCAATTTACGGAAAGCCCCCATAGCAGCAAAACTAACGGAAAAACAAGAAGGTACCCCTCCCCCCCTTAGGGCCTTTTGTAAATTGATTCTTGCTCCATGAGAAAATATCGTAAACAGCTTGGAGACGTCTCAATTTCTTCAGAAATGTTTGCTCTACACGATCAACTTATTTGCAAAGAATTTCTGGATTGAACTCTGGAACTTGGTTTTCTGAGATCTGAGTTTTCCAGAGACCCTGATTTCAGGAGTTTTGATGGAGCCTTTGTATACACCATCTGAGATCGGAAATTCTTTCAGCTATTCAAATCTTTTTTCAGATTTATTCTAGCTATTATGATCATGCAATAATTGCAACTAGACGCATTTATATGTCGCCGGGAGCCAAAGGGTTAAAACATGTGCAGTTTCAGTCGTTAGTACGTCAAAAAGTCATCCTAATCGACTAACATAAGTTTAAGAGAGCGAGGCTTGGACTTTTCGACAAATCTATCTCACACTCAGGATTATCAATAAAGAGCATTAACCAGGTAGATAAGAGAGTAAAACTGGTACTTAGGTCAGGGAGGAGAGGAAGACGTCTAAAATTGAATTTGCCTATGTAGGTTCAATCAGACTGACGCTTCGTGATATCCACCCTCGGTAAAGCAATAATTCTATGATTTTAGATTATAGTGTATTATGCTGATAGATTTTTATTTTTACTTTTTGTATAATAGTTAAATATAGAAAATAAAATATTTAGTTAATTAAGCTTTAAGGGTAGGTTGTTTTATGCAAAATATTAAACCTAGATTTTCAACTAATAATGATAAATTTTGGTTTTATTGTATCTGGGAGGAAGGTGTGATGGTGCAAATTTTGGGTGTTGTAGATGTTATGGTGGTAAACGGCAATTCAGACTTTTTAGACTTTTAGACTTTCGTCTAGAAAAGGTCAACATCCAAAAGTGCTCAACTTGGAGCTTGAGTATGGTAACTCACCCTCAAACTGCCCCTCCCCCCCGCGGCTAGGCTGCCCTATTCTAGAAGACAGTCTAAAGGTCTAAAAAGTCTAAATCGCCGTTCACCACCGTAACATCTACAACATCCAAAAGTAGCACCATCACACCGTGATCAATACCGCATAGTAGGCTTAAAGTAACTTTCGTCTGTATAATCTGATAGAAAAAAAAAAGCTCTGTCTTTCTATGCTATTTGATCGTACTTCAACTAATATCATAATATTAAATTATCTTTAAAACCTATTTCGGCTGGTTATGTGCCGGTCGTATTCATACTAATTTTGAAAAAATACGAGTGAGTATTATAGATTTTCTTGATCTGTTCCTTGTAAGGTTTTCAATTGGCCTTTTTAAGAACAAACATATTTGATAAGTTGTTTACAGTGATTTTTCAATTATCCAGTGTAAATTAAACGCACTAATCGAAGATCTACAAATGGCGGAAGGTTGAAATAAATAAAATGCATTTTAGTCGAGCTTCTAATAGAATTTTCTAGCAAAATCTGTGAAAAAAGCTCACTTTTGTTTTCATAAAAAAAACATTTTTCTGACACTTAGAAAATTGAACAAAAATGCTTCAGAATCAATATTAGAAAATCCTATAATATATGATTCGACGCATCTTCATTTCCTCTTTCCAACGGTGGACACCGCAGCCCTCTATCTTGTTTCTATCAAAAGTTATTCAAAAAATACTCACTTGCGTTCATGGAACCGTGATACATGCGAACAAAACAGATCTTATCAAAATTTTATTAGGCTTATATTAGTTGCAGTATGATCAAATAGCATAGAAAAATAGAGCATTCTTTTCTCTATCAGACTGCATAGAAAGAAAATTTCTTGAAGCTTAATATACAGTATTAAAGTGTCACTGCCCGTACTTTTGGTATGCCCTAAGTATTATTAAATTTTTTAATATTTTTTATTTATTTATTTTTAAAAAAAATTCGGCTTTTTGGCTTTACTGTTTATTAAAGACATAGTTTAATTTTTATTAGGTGATTTCTGCTCAATGGATTAAATAGCTGCAGTAATCTGACTGTACTAAGGTAGCATAATCATTAGTTTTTTAATAAGAAACTGGAATGAATGAATGAAAGTGTCATTAAGGTTTTCTAAATTTTATTTAAGTTTTATTATATGTGAAAATACATTTATTTTAATGTCAGACGATAAGACTCAATAAATTTGAAATTGTGTTTTAATTGGGATAATTTTATTTATTTAAAAATTATTATTTTATAATTACTTTAGGGTTAACAGGATAATCAAATTATTAAGATTGTATTGATATTTTTGTTTATTTTTCTGATTTTTTGTTGATATTTTTTTCTCTTTATTATTGATATTTTCTTCATGTTTCTGCAAAATATACTCGTTTTGTGAACTTTCTCATTTTACAAGTTCTTTTCTTTGAAGCTGCGATTATCTTGAAATTGTTCTGATGCCTGTAGAAGGTAGCATGGAAGGGTATAGTGAATATCTTCTCCTAACCATAAGTTTCTAGACGTTCGTCATAGAATACACTAGATGATATCATATGATGTATGTGCACACCTACACAGTTAGCGTTTCTCTGTTATATTTCAAATGCATATGCGATAGCGAGGAACTTTACAAGTTCAACAGCGACAGGTTTTCGTGAGATGTTGAAGTTTTGACAGAAGTCTACCCGTGGACACGATGAGTATGCAGCGCGAAGATATACTTCTGTAAGTTCCTCAGTTCAGTGGTTTGTACCTTGGTCTCATAATTCATACTCATCAAGCGTCACAGGTTCGATTCCTCGAGTAGTTGTTCTTTGTTTTCTTTCTTTTCAAAGTAGACGGTTTTACTTGCACAATTTTACCTGAACGGTTTTCTAACGGTTTTAAAACCGTCAAAACAAAACTGTCGTATTCAAATTATACGAAACAAAAGCATGAATAACTAAAACCGTGAAAAAAAACATGCCAAAGTGACTGCGAGAAACCGCGTATAAAAACTGTCATGAGTCTCACGGTTTTTTTCTCGGTGTACTTGGATGCTAAACTTATTTGTTGATGTAAAGGTAAAAACTATTGAAATTAAAACTCATTGTTTAATGTTCGCGTGTTCTGATGATATTTACCTACTTATATAACTATCTCTTTCCGAATAATTTCATTTCAGTGCATCAATCTAGTTTCGTTAAAAAAGACTATAGATTGGTATTCCTTTAGCAGATGCTCCCCCAAAAACGTGGTGACATTAAAACTGGTGCTCCCCATACTTATTCAGTGTTCCCCCACGAAATCGAAAAACGTGCGGTAACATTATAGCTGGTGCTCCCCATATGTATTTAGTGTTCCCCTTAGTAACATTAAAGCTGGTGCTCCCCATACGTATTTAGTGTTCCCGTATGTTGAAAAAATTCAGTAAGGTGATATTTATAGTTTTTTAATGTCAAAATGAAAGAACAAACAATCAGTAAATTAAAAGAAGTACAGAAAAATTGTTCTAAACATTTTTAATGCTCTTAATGTGAAAGTTTATGAAAAAGGGTTACGACTAAATCAAAAGAAGCGGCTGGTCTTATTTCGATAAGTCCAAATGATCAAACGCGGATTCTTGAACAAAGATAAGTTGGAGTTATATTTATGGAAGATTATATATATGCGTACCTCACCCTGGTTAAAAAGCACTACTTGAAAATGACTACTACTGTTCCAATGCCAACTAATTTTCGTGAATTCTATTCTATTATTAATGATAACAAGACGCTTCCTATGTTTGTACGTGAACAAAAACTTGTATTAGAAAGTGAAGATCATCAATGTCCGAAATGTGGATCGGAAATGAGAGACGGTAAACATCAAAAGACTTTAAAGGATGGTAAGTGATTCACACACTTTGCAGTTACTATTATCTATGCTGACTTAATTGTATTCCTGGGTACAGTGTCAACATATGAAATAATGCGATGTAAAAATAAGCAATGTGCAAATCAGTTAAGTAAAAGAAAAAATACCTTTTTTGCTTTTACCGACTCCTTGGGCAGAGCCAACTCAAAACTTAGTGTTGCGTCTATTTTAGAAATTATATGGTTATGGTGTTTTAATATAACATCGAAGACAATACCATGGACCGTCGGATGTTCAGAAGCAACTACCGTTGATTGGTGCAATTTTTTAAGAGAAGTAAGTCCATATTGTCGGGTCTATGCTATATCGGATAATAACGATTGTTCATTCTTTAAGGTTTGCACAGAAAAAATGAACGTGGCTGAACAAATGGGTGGTATTGGTGAAGTGGTGCAGATTGATGAATCACTGTTTCGGGGTAAACGTAAGTATAATCGTGGAAGGTTACTACTCGGTAATGTTAATAAGAAGAAGGACAACAACAACAACACGAGCGGATTAGTACCATACGAATCCAGTAGTAACAGCGATAGTAGTAGTAGCAGTGATGACAATCAGCCCACAAATAACCGAAACTATGGCAAACGAATAGACGGTAAGTTATAACTATGGTCCAGTTACATCTGTACTAATCATCTTCAATATTTCAGGTCCATGGATATTTGGAATTGCTCAACCAACAGAAAATGGATATGAAGTTCGGTTTTTCCATGTACAACGTCGTGATCGTGCAACATTAGTTCCGATTATACTCAAGCATGTTGTACCTGGAACAACCGTATGGTCCGATGAATGGAGTGCATATAAAAACTTACAAAAGCAGTATGGGTATGATCATCAAACAGTAAGTAAATGAACCTATGCAAGTTTCAAAACTTCATGAGTATCTAAATTAAATTGTAGGTCAACCACAGTCAAAATTTTGTTGACCCGCACACTGGCTGTCACACACAATTAATCGAATGCTTGTGGGGTCAAGCGAAAACAAAAATTTTGAGAGCCATGCGCGGTTCAACGTTACTCGATAATCATTTAAACGAATTTTGGTATCGCTCAGTGCACAAGGACATGTTTTCATCGATATTAGCAGACATTCGTCGTTTTCGTATGTAAGTTTCTTTTACTGATTTAAAAAAAGTGGTTCCTTTACTAGACGTTTTTTTCGGTACTTTTCCTTGCCTTGAATACATTGCAAAAGACTTGTAATCAATAATTATCCATTCAAGTAGTTTTATTTTTAATGGATAATTATTGATTACAAGTCTTTTGCAGTTTATTTAAGACTAGGAAAAACTACCGAATCCTTCTTTTTATTATTTTTTTCTGTACTTCTTTAAGTTTTCTTTCTACTTATTAGTTAGTTAGTTAGTTACTGCTTTATTTTCTTATTGTTTATTTTTTCAATTTTTTGATATCGAAAATTTCTGTACTTAATTCTTTTCTTTTCTGTAATAATAATTTCTGTACTTTTAATTTACTGATTGTTTGTTCTTTCATTTTGACATTAAAAAGCTATAAATATCACCTTACTGAATTTTTTCAACACACGGGAACACTAAATACGTATGGGGAGCACCAGCTTTAATGTTACCGCACGTTTTTCGATTCCGTGGGGGAACACTGAATAAGTATGGGGAGCACCAGTTTTAATGTCACCATGTTTTTGGGGGAGCACCTGCTAAAGGAATATCCCATAGATTTGTCAGAAGACTAGTCTCTGGAAATTTCATCTAGATTGGTTTAATGGAAAGAGTGGAAATCCACTATACTTAAGGCATCTTTTGGGAAAAGTCTTATTTTAGAAAGAATGATTATTTTTTTCGCTAGGAAACAGTTAGAACAAAAACTTCTTTTTATCAGTCGATAGAGGAAGAGCTCTGCTGATTCATTAGTCGACTATTTCTTCGTTCGGTGAAAAATAGTATTTTTTGGTACTACGATTCTCTGAACACTTTAGCAGCTGGAACAAAAACGTTTTTGCCAAAAAACTGTCTATCAGCCAAAATATATTGAACAGTGTTCAAATCTAGAAAAAGCTCACTTTCATTTTTCACCGAATGTTTGTTTGCCTCCCCACTGTGCTATAATGATCACAATACCAATAAATATCACCTTATTTATTACCTTTGTTGTCATTTTTAAATGCAGGCATTATGTACGGTATGTTATGAAACAATCTGTAGTCTATCATTTAAATGTTGTTTCTCTTCTGCGGAATCTATAATACTAATGTGTTTGAGTTTTTCCAAAGAAATTAATTTAGATCGTGTGTATCACTTTGTTTTTCGTTTCAGCAAACATTAACGAAAGTCCTAATTTAAAATGTTTAATTAATGATAAGAAATACCCTGAAAGATGAAGAAATATTAATCTTACAAAAATTCTAACTTCTAAATTATTTTGAGCTTAAGAGAACTCGAATAGCAATGTTTCAGATTACTTTGTTTGTCAGAATATCGAGGATACCTTATTAATAAGGAGAAATACATAAATGCCGCGGGTATATCAATTGATATACCCGCGGCATTTATGTATTTCTCCTTGTGAAGAGTGCAAAGTCAAAACTACTACTGACTGTATGCATCGTCTTATGAATAACTTTCAATAGTGATTATACTTTTTATAGTCCAGTTGAGATTTTATCTAATTTCTTTTAATTTCTTTTGAATAAAGTTAAAAATATTTCTTAACCTACTGGAGAAGCAAGTCGAAAGAATACCGAGACCATGAAGAATGCAACTTCCCTTGCCTGCCTTATTATTCTCTTTTGATCTATCCTCGCAGACAAATGCCGACTAAAACAGATTGCAGTTTGCTCTAAATGTGATTACATTATGCTCCTTTAAAAACTATACATATAATACGGAATACTTTTAGAAATGTCCGTAAAAAAAACCCGTTATGACCGTTTTATTCCATCTAGGGGTGTCACTTTACTTTTATTTATTTGTTACTTTTCCAGAAAAGGTAACAAATTTTTGTCATTGCTTTACATTTGACTTTTCAAGGATAACAAAGGAAATTGCTTGTTACTCGTAAATTTCTTGTTACGGGTAACAAGTACCAGAGTAAAAAAATAAGTTTCTGGTAACTGGTAAGAAAATAACAAAAAGAGTTACCGCTTCCAGTAACAAGTAACTTGCAAACATTTTCTGTTACTAGTAAAATGACGCCCCTAATTCCATCATCTCATATATAGTAAGAAAAAAGACAATAGAAAAGTATAGACCCGATCACTCAGTAGAAAGAGCAGAAAGAAATTCTTACGGCGTAGGTTTGATTCCTTAAAATAGAGTAGAAAATAGTACATTTTGTGGCGTAGATGTAATCCTATTTTAGTCAGTTATTTTTAAAAGCAGGATTAACAAATACTACTATGGGAATATTCCGTTCATTTGCCTTTGTTTTTTAATGTGCTTTGCACTAGTAAAAGAATTATCAACTCTTAGGATGTTTGTTATTGTATTTTTACTTACGCAGATTCATTTTGATATAAGCTACTTATTAAGAAAATTAAGAATAAAACACCAGTAAAAATAGCTGCGAAGAGAAACGATAGTAGCTATATCTACATCACATAGGCAAAGAAATAAAACCACCGATCGAGAACACACACGAGAAACACATACATTTTTGTATAGAAAGACATGTACGGTCATAAGTTCAGTGTACAGAATAAGACAAAAGAGAAGAAATAGACACGCTAGTTTACCTTAATTCTTTTTATTATCAAGATTAAATTAATAACTTGCATAACAGGAAGATCATTTTTAACGTCCAAGCATCAAGAAGAGAGTTGGGTAGAAGGGAAGCAATGAATCCATTCAGGAAATACTTGCATCTCGATCTAAGACATCCTACATCTATGGACTTTACTATTTTTACAGCGATTTGCGCACATTATATGTGCAAATAAATTAATTTCTAGGCTAATATCAATTGTCTTTGTAATTTCGTTTTTTTAATAGCAATTCTTGCTAGTTTATCAGATCGCATTGCAGTGGTTTGTGGTTAAAATAATTCTCAAAACACAAGCCAATCACTATCAGGACTATAAAGATATATCTTGGGACTCAAGAAGGCAAACAAATTATGAGAAAATGTGTAAGCGAAAAAGTCATATTTTCAATACAGTGGTTAAAACATATAAAGATCAAACTTCTCTATAGTAATATACACTTTCTATGTTTCTTTTTCTTATTAGCATTCTCAGGAGCGTGTTGCGCAAAAGATCTGAAAAAAAAGAAAAGAAAATCAAACTCTTTCCAGAGTAGTCGCATTTAGTGAAATGTGAGTGGCACCGTCTATATATTCGATTAAGATATGAGGAAATAATCAGAACATTCACTGAGAATGTGGATTCACTGATGTTAGTGTGGTCTTTTTCAAACTTTTAAAAAGTCCTTAGCTCAATACTACAGCGTTTGAGATCAGTGTGTTCTTCTAACACAAATCTAAATCTAACCGTTGCCGTTAGTTTAAATATTCACACACCTGTTGCTCAACTACGAAACAAAACTAACAGAAATATTAATCGAACCAATAATATTTTGCTAACTATACTCGAAGCCTATGATTTATTTACAATTGTTTAATTATTTTTTTTCTTTTCTTCTTTCGTTCCAAGACTGTTGAAAGACAAAACTGTAACATAAAAAATGTGTTACGAAGGTAATCTTAAAACAAAGTAAGATTAGACATCGAGCAAAGACAGGAAATGTAAGAAAATGTATTTACATTTTGCATTCTTCTCAGCTGATCAGAAGAAAAAGAGAATGTGAACGAAATGTCTATTTTTCTTTTTTCTGTTCTTTATGTATATCGTGTACACTGAAAAACACTCTTGCCTCTTCTGACCAGCTGAGAAAGAATGTAAAATGTAAGAAATTGTAAATATATTTTCTTACATTTCCTATCTTTGCCCGATATCTAACGACACAACTGAACTGACACACGTTTTTTTATAGTTGTGTAAGATTTACCTAGTAGTAGAAGCAGAACAAGAAAGAAAATATTCTCTGTCTTTATTTACTTTAGGAGGATCGATAAGCGAGAAAAGAGAAAATAGAATGATAGAAAAAAAACCAGTTATTCACAACAGATACAGCTGGTATATTCGTTGTGTTAGAGAAAAAGGCTTTTACATTTTTTTCTTTTTTTCTGTTCTCTCGTAAATTCTAGTAAACGTTTGCCTGATGATACTCTGATCTTTTTTGAACGTTTACTGGAATTTAAGAGAAAAAAGAGAAAACGAAAAAAATGTAAAAACCTTTTTCTTCTAACACAACGAATATACCAGCTGTATCTGTTGTGAATAACTGTTTTTTTTCCTATCATTCTATTTTCTCT